GATCAACTGCGCATTCAGGAACTTTCAGCGGCGGAGTGTGTTTGCTCGAAACCCTCTTCCCCAATGGCCCTTGGTAAAAGAAGAACAAATTTGGATAGCTCGTTCGTATACCCCTTCCAGGTAACTTTTGAGGTCACATTCTCGTTTAATTCTTGGTTTACCTTTTTTAAAGCTTGACATTTCTTTGAATACGCCGATTTCGCGTTTTCTTCGCTAACTTGCACTATTCTGGACTATCAATTCCATTATTCAACTATTGTGAACTGGGTCTCTGAAAAGCCAAGAGACGGACACAAGGCTCTTGGGCGGCAATATCCATCAGAGTAATGGGGAGTAGGAAAACCTTTTTAAGGAAATCTGTCAATAACAATGTCAAGAAAAGGTGAAAGGTCAAATTTATAAGGAGTTGGTCTCAAGGTAATCAGGCAAAGATCGGCGCTTTATGGGGTCTTTGTTGGGGGAGAAGGTTCTTTCATGGGCACCATCGTAACATCTGAAGTGTGATGTCCGTAAGACAAAACCCTCCTTCTACGGTTGATTTCTTTATCACAAAAGTCGTTTTCATCTTACTTTGTTCAGGATCTCTAAACATCGGTACGCAGTCGATCCTTCGAGCCCCTTTTCTCTCATTTGATAGCTTATTGGTCTATTTAAAGATTATCATGAAGTTTATTAGCGAAGCGGCTTCTCATTTAAGAAATATCACAGAGTCTAATGCTGCACAATTGAAGATTAGGGCCGATCTGCGACCATATAAAGGTAACTGTCCGAGCTTCTGGAATAGAATTCCTCACTCTCTGACAGTTATATGGTCAACTTTTCTCTATCGTATACGCAAGCTCTCACGGTGAAAGAAGCCACGTTTTTAGAAATTTGAAATCTTCAAGGCAAAGTACATGAGTTGCAAGAAGAGCCTGGGCCGTTTCCTTAGGGAAATCTATTGTAACTGTATTGTTCTACAGATTTCCTAGTTCCTTCATTGTTAATCGAGTAAATTTTTCTCCATAGCATCTCCCGAGTTACAAGTCTCAGCTTTAATGGTCTGTTCGTGATGATTGCTTATGCCTGCGTATGCTTAGTTAAATTATAATGTTATTACTGAGCAAAAATGTTTTTAGAACTGTAGTCCGATCATTTATTTCATAGTGCCATCTGATCGAGGAATGTCCTGGTAATGTCAATAAAATAATGTACATCAGCAAGGAGATCCCTGCACTGGGTCAATGCTGAAGTCCTGGTATATTCGACAATCCTGGTATATTCGGCAATCCTGGTATATTCGGCAATCCTGGTATATTCGGCAATCCTGGTATATTCGGCAATCCTGGTATATTCGGCAATCCTGGTATATTCGGCAATCCTGGTATATTCGGCAATCCTGGTATATTCGGCAATCCTGGTATATTCGGCAATCCTGGTATATTCGGCAATCCTGGTATATTCGGCAATCCTGG